TACATACATACATGTATATTGAGGAAGGGGAAAAAGACCTATTAGTGTCTTAGGAAAATTGACAGTTATAAGCGACCAACTTTTTTCTGGCAGTAAAATAAAACCTTAAAATAAAAATGGAAAGCACAGTATGGATAATATTCTAATAATAAATTAAAATTTAATGATGCGTAAAAATTGATAATAAATTATGATTAAATGTCAAATAAATTAGTTTGAATTTTAAATTAATTAAATTTTTTGATAAAGAGAAGTAATCCTATTTTTTAAAGCGGATCTTAATACTTAAATATTTCAGTATAAATTTATATAATATATATCCAATTCTGTAAACCACGCGTCAAAATCTTTTTTAATATTAAAGCACAATCATAAACAAAACTAGAGTAATATCATATATTATTAAATTGACAAGTCATTTAATAATATTTGACAAGCAATTTAATAGCATCTGATAAGCAATTTAATAATATTGACGCTAATAGTTAAAAGGGTATTAAATTTTAATTAAACCTTTAGGCGCATCGTGTAGTGCAAAATCGCAAATCACTAAATTGACAACTAGTCCAGTGTATATAAATTACATACGATTTTTCATGTGAACAGAAGAAACAAGATACAGAAATTATTAAATAACCACAAACACATACGCGCACACATCCCTCCAATAAAGGAAAAGTTGGCTCCAAATTTATTGTAAAATTCAGAAGATAGAAGACTTTCGACAATCTTGAGACCGCAGAAAGGAACTTATAAATAAATGATGACGAGAGACATCAAACCATTGTTTGGGCTGCCGCCGATTTTATTGAAGGTGGTAGTAGCCAGTGAGGCGATGAAATACTTGTAGAGTTTAAACATAGAGAACAATACATTGCATCGTATCAAACAGCGTGATCAAAGTTCGGATTGATAGTCTGTGACTGACCTATAACACAGATTGATAGTCTGTGACTGACCTTAATGATATATAACACGTTACAATATCATGTGTTTTGAAAAATTGTTTAGAAATTTAATTTTTTTAAATATTCGTATTTGTATGATGTTATAAAAATTTTTCCATTTATTATTATTTATAAAAATGTATTTTATATATTTTTTATGCATTTATCTTTCCTACCGTTCTTTCTTTTTGTGTAGAGAGAGAGAGAGAGAGAGAGAGAG